TTATATTTTTACCAGGTGTGTCTGCCTATCAGACACCTGATCTTGCAGGACCACCATTAAAGTCTCGCTTCTGCTACATTCTGTGTCTCTGTGTTTACCCTTTGATTTTGGATGGGTGAGTTTGTTTCTCCCAAGATGGCTGAGTATAATGTGGTAACATATGGGACAGGTTTGGTAAACAGAAAAACCCTGTAGGCTTCTATGATCAGTGTTTGTTGTTGTTGATGTTTTTAAGACATAATACACACACCGTAAAACTGACCCTTTTAAAAGATACTGTTGTTAAATAAAGTTCATGGGAGGTCACTGTTTTGGATGAGGCCACTGCACTCGGCCCCAACAAACCAGACCAAACCAGAATAGAGTCACTTGCTAGGTGCCACATGCCCAAACAAAGCTTAGAAATGATACACAGCAACCAAATGAAGGGGCCAGTTTACTGGGCCAGTGTGGCAGGGAATCCCTTCTGTGTTATCCCATAATGGAAGTGACTTTGCAATGACCAGTCGACCGGTCTGCTTTTTGTTCCTTGTTTCTGCTTCCTCCTGCCCTTTTCTGCAATACAAAGCCAAATCCTCTGCTCAGCTCATTGAACACCCACTTATTTTTTAGAATGAGATGTTGCTTGATTCCAGGATTGCTAATAACAGCCAATTAGAGCTTTAAGTTAAGTCTGTTGTAATTTTGTCTTTGGACGCAGTTCAGTGGTTCTCAGTATACTTACAGAATAGTACGCAAGCTATATTTAGAACAATTCCATCATCTCAAAAAGAAACCCTGTGCCTATGTGCGAGCCCCCAGCCCTTGTTGACCACTCCTCTGCTCTCTGTCTCATGGTTTTGTCCATTCTGAACATTTCATGGACATGGAATCATACAGCATGTGGCTTTTTATAATTGGCTTAATATTCTCAGCCCACTTTACAGATGAGAAAACCAAGGTTAAGGAAGGACTTGTGTTTTGCATCCCCAATAAGTTACATGCTTTCTAGGGAGAGGCCATGCCTTCCTCTCTTGCATTCACCACCATGCCCAGCAAATGCTGCACATAGAACAGAGGCTGAGAAATACATGTTGGATAGAATTGGATTAAGATAAGACTCTGGCTGATCATTCCACTGACATGCTAGCAAGTAACATTTTACTATCTTAGCAGCCGAGGCCAGCATTTCTCTTGAATGGGAGACAATCACTGTTTGGGAAAACAGCACAGAATTAAGTGGGCTTTGGGGGAAGCTGGAAAACCCAAGGGCGTGTGTGCTCGGCAGAAATGTATTTTCCTCCTGAGAAGGAGGACATAAGAAAGAGGGGATAGTCATGGGGCATGTTGGGACGAAAGAGGGAGGAAGAGAAGGGAGCCAGTGACATGGGGGAGGGGAGGGCAGGTGCAGTCCCTGAGCAATGCCTTTGCGGGACGGTGGCCAGGGAAAGCTAGGTGATGATGCTCCGTGTTCTATTTCACATGTGCCCTGGTGTGCAGACTGCATGAATCCATGCTTTTGAGTAGGGGTGGTGCCCAGTAATGCAGGGAAGGCATGACTTTCAGGTCTGGGTTTCTGTGGAGCAAACTTAGGGGTCAAAGATGTCACGAGACTGTGAGTTCCCAGGCCCCTAAGACAAACCCTGAGAGATTCCTGGACTTCTATTGGAGATCTGGGCCAATCTTACTTGGATTGTAAGTAAGCTCAAAACAGGGGAGGATGTAAGTGTATATCTGCCTGGAGAAGTAGCTTTGCCAGCCTCCCCCGGGGCATTTGGGCAGATGATGGGTCGTGTTGGTAGGCACGAGGCTGGTGGAGAGCAGTCTTCCAAGGTTTCCACCACCTCCCAGGGGATGCGACATTTCTCTAGGTAAGATGTGCCCCTAAAGGTCGATCCTCTTTTAAGAGACTGGGCCCTGGGAACTTCAGAAACCAAGCGAGGGAGACAAAGGTGACAGGATGCTGCGGGTTAAGGCAGCTGATTTCCAGCGATTATGATCGCTTCAAAGGAGCTCAGGCACCAGGGACTCCATCTGCATCTAACCAGGCAAGTCTCGGGAAATCTCAGACTGTGCTGTCCTTGTCTGCCCTCTGGGGACCTAGTTCTTTGATGGGGACTTGAGGCTGGCTGAAGAGATGAATCACTTAGAACCTGGACTGGAAAAGGGGTCAGGAGAAAATGCAGCTGCCTGCTGGGGATACAGAAAATCTGGTCTTGTGTTAGACATTATTTTGCCTCCTGGAAATCCACTGGCTTTTCTCCAGAGCCCCCAAAACTAAAGGTGTGGAAAAATCCATCTTTAAGTTCTTCTGGATCTCCCATGGGGGTGCTACACCTTAAAAAGCCCAGATGAATTCTCAAACTCAGAAGCAATTCAGAAAAATAAGGGCTATATAGGAGGTGGAGAGAGATAGAGAACCCTCTGTCATTCATTCCACCCTGGCATAGAAGGTACAGTGATAGAGTTATCCTGCTCTGAATGGAAGGGGCCATTCTGGGATTCAGTCTCCCATGTGATGTGTGAGGAGACCCAGCGGGACCAGGCCAGGTCCCTTCTGAGGCCACTAGGAAGCACACCCTGGGCTGCCTGACACACTTATCATTCTCTGAAGATGCAGCTAGGAGAGTTCAGCATACTGCTTGTTTCGGCTGCTGCTACAGCATTCTGTGCTTCAGATATACTCAGGTCCCAGATGGCCTGTTAAGACAGTACGATCATACCAGACTTTATCACTCTGACCTAAGTTAATTAATTCCCTGAGCCAGCATACACATGTATGAACACCAAAGTAAACAGAAATTGTACTTACAGGCAAAGACAAACAACAAGCATTTCTATTCAATTCTAGAAGCTTCAAACCCACTGAAAAGAGCAGGGAGACTTTCTTTACTGGTCACCAGATACCAGTGATAACAGTCACTATGACAGATTTATCAGACAGTCTTCTGAGGAAATTGCAAAACTTTCCTACAGTTCTCGGCTACTGACTTTATCCTATCACTGGTACTGACCTTTGGCGGTCTTGGCACCCAGGGATCTCATTTTCTCCATTAGAATTACGCGTAACGACAGCGACTCCTAAGTTATTACAGAACAGTGGGCTGGGACCACAAGCTCCCTTCCAGTTTGACCACCGGAGCCTCCATTAATTTCATGAAAAATCACCCCGTCCTTTTGTCTGCACCACTGATTTGGAAAAGCCCATTGTCCCTGCCCATAAAAACTGGTGAGTGATGAGAGCTGCAGCTGGAGCCCTGAGAGGAGAGGCCTGCAAGGGTCTCTTTCTAACGATCTGCTAACTCAGGCTGCAGTGAGAGGCAATGGCATTTTAAAAAAATCAAGGTCAACTTTGCCCAAGTACCAATCAGAGTTTGGAGGCTGCATATCTGTCCCCGAGTCAGTGAGGTTAAATACCATGCGAAGACACAAGCAGAGATTTAATTCCTGCATTCGTTTCCCTCCTCTGTCAGCCTCCACTCAGGCCACTGCAGGGCTACTCTCAATGGCTCCCATTCCTGGAGACTGGGAATTCCAGGGTGGTAGAACATTCAGGGAGGGACCCTTTCAGCCCCTCCACAGGAACCTGTCACTACTTCAAGGGCACTTTTGGTGCTTTTGCCTCACGACGGCATCATGCCTGCAGCTCCCACACCCTCAACAACCACTTCTCTCCCTTTGTGGTTTTCAAAACACTTCTGCATATCTCTGCACACTGCGTCACCTCAATAAGCTAATATTATCCCTCATTTACAAAGCAAAAACCCAAGGGACTCGTCCAAAGACATTGTCATGGCACACTTAATGTGTCTATGGCCACCTAACTAGAATTAGTAGCAGAGCTCAGACTAGAATTTGGGTTTTCGCGGGCTTCCCGTAGGGGAGTGAAGAGGGGCAGGAGTCTGGGGAGCACAGTTCTTTTTGCCCCTTCTTGAAGCCAACGGGCTAATTGCTGACGGTTCTGAGCATGTGCACCTGGCCAAGTGGGCGTTCTGCCCAATTCCGCAGCCAGCAACCATGCTTCTTGCAAATGAACTGACTGAGAACCGTATCTGGGAGAAGCAGATGCCCCTGGAGGATGGCTCGTGCAGAGCAGGGCTGGTTGTCAGTGGTCACTATTACAAGCCAGCTGGGGGCACTGTATAATGACTTCTCAAGTTGCAGATGGAGACCATGGCTACTTCCTCAACTTCAGCTTGAAATTCGACTCTCTCTTCAGTGTCTTTATTTTATTTTTTAACCTTAATCCCGCAGCTGCAGTGCAGTGGACCAGGGTACATTGGCTTTCAGAGCTTGTCAGCATCTGCCATCTCTTCCTCCTCCTCCCCACCCCCAGGTCATTCTCCAGATCTCCCATCTTGGATTATTCCTGCTGTTTCCTTCAGATCCTTCCTCCACTCACAGAGAAGTGCAAAAACCTAATCTAAAAGCTTCCTCCTTTAAGCTATTCTACTATTCTTGAATCACGGTGGTTGGCATTTCAACAGCTCCACATAAAAAGAGATTTCATGAAATACTCTAAGAAAATAATTGCGCCTAGTCCTTTGTTTCTCAGCTCCTTTAATCCTTTTCTCAGATATGGCCACCATAATTAAATGCAATATTCTGGATGTCAAACTGAAATTCACAGCTTTGATAAATATTAGGCGATTAAGCTATTTATAAAATATATAATTTGAAAATCTGGCATTTCATGTGCTATGATTATTTCTTTTGCGTGAAGACTAAGTGCTTAGCCACGTGGAAGGCACTGCCAGGAAGGGAAATTAATAAGGATGTTCACTTGTGAGTTTCAACTATCCCCACATTTCAAATGAGTTGGAGACAAAGTCTCCTTGTGAAAGAGCAAAGTAAGAAAAGAAGAGGGAGAAAAAGAAAGAAGGGAAAAAGTTCCACAAGCAAAGTGATTACATTATGGTTTGCGAGTCTCTTCCTCTATGAACCAGCTTCACTGCAAATCAGCGAATCAGGGAGCTGGTATGGAGTTCTATGCTAACAGGGGTGCCCAGGAAGTGTCCTACCAGGAGGTCCACCATGTTTGGCTTGTTGTTCCTCAGTGTCTTCACAGCATGGAAGACGTCCACGGTTCTCTGGTGCCGGAGCATCTCGCAGACGATGCTGATGGCACAGAACGTCCCACTGCGGCCTCCCCCGTTCCTGTCATAAAAGAAATCAGGTGATTGGACTGCACTTCTTGCATACACCCGTGGAAACATGCGGCCTATATCCCGGTGATCCAGTGATGATGAAGGCCTCTGAGGCTGGGCGTCTCTGCACCTGGGCCCCGTTCTTCTACTCAGAGTGAATGGAGCAAGTCAGCTGCTGCACTTGACCACAGGTCGCCTGACTGGAGATCCCTTCCCAGCTTTGCCTCAGCCCTGGATTGTTATCTGATATGTACCTCACAGATTTTCATAGAAAGGGTCCATAGGGGAAAACTGTCAATGAACCAGTGCCTTATGTAGAGTCTGCCAGGAAAATTGGTGTGATGAGGATGGGTTATGTTTAAAGAGATACCTGGCCTTTTAAAAAGTTCATTTGTACTACATGAAAGAGATTGGGAGTAGCAGATCATTGCTGGGGGTGGGGG